GTAAACGCAGGAAGCTTACATCAAAAGAAGCAGATCTTCCAGATAGGATGTATCTGCAATAAAACATTACAGCCCCCCCCCATCCAGAACCTCGAGAATCTGGGGGGCAAGCATAGAAATGACAACATTTAACAATTCACTCTAACAGATAGGTTGGACCACGAAGGATACACCTGACCCATCCTTCAAATGTCGGGAAAAGGGGGATGCATTTGTCGCTGCATTTGGAGGAGTCTTTGAATTTGGACAGTCTTCATTGCGTCGCTGTGATGTTTGCCTTCAAACGCGGCCTTCAAAGCATGCTGCCCCTGAATTTGGACACAGTCAGAATCAGAAGAAAGCACGTTGCTAGGACTAATTGGAGGCAAATTTAATTTCAAAAGACTATCTCCCAGCCCATTGTTCCTTCAGTCACTTTCAGTCATTATGCAAATGTACTGTTTATAAGATTGGTGAAACCTGCAGTTAGCTGAGACTGAAGAAGTAGAAACGTTTCTCCCACTGAAAATGCTACATCCAGATGAACAGAATAAACTTTTGGGGATAGGGTGAGAAGTTCAGCCATCAGGGAGGGGCTCAGTGTAGAGCCGCTGCTCCTCTGGATCAAAAGGAACCAGTTGAGGTGGTTTGGGCATCTGCCTCCTGGGCGCGTCCTGGGTGACATGTTCCGGGCATGTCCCACCGGGAGGAGGAACCCAGGGCAGACCCAGGTCACACGGGAAAGATTATGTCTCTCGACTGGCCTGGGAACGCCTTGGTGTTCCACCGTACAAGCTGAAGGAGTTGCCTGGAGAGAGGGAGGTTTGGGCTTCCCTGCGGCTGCTGCCCCCGCAACCCGACCCCAGATAAGTGGAGGATGGATGGATGGGATGGACCAGCAACATACAAGATATTTGTCACAATTTTTTTATAAATAAAAAACAAAAAAAAGCTGATATATATGTAAATATAACATTTTGCAGAGGATGTCACAATTTATTAATAAAAACACAGTAAATAGTGGTGACAAAAATTGGACTTGAAATCATACATTTAATTTATCTCTGTCTGTAGTCAAAAGTTACAGGAAAACCTTCAATTGCCCGATTTGTTATTGAAAAAGACAAAATTTTAAAAAAAGAATAGACAAGAATAGGAGGTTTGTGGGTAAGCACAGGGATTTTAACACAATCAATGACAGGCCGCTCTGGTCTTTCGGGAGCTTTCATTTGATCGTGATTTCCACTCATGACTTCACATATAATATCCAAGCACAGTACACACACAAACCACTCCAGCTGTACAGATACCAAACACAATATGTAGATTACTTGTGGTCGGAACAACATATATGTTCTGAGATTAATAAATTATTTCCAAATTGATGATGCAAATATTTGAAAACTAAAATAAAGTGTCTTGTAGTGCTATAGTATTATAATATTCTATTTTATTTTAGTTTTATTTGGAGGAGGATGGTCTCCTCTGTAGGTGCTGAAGTCAGCTGTGCACTAGATGGCACCTCTGGACAACCAGAGGCCTCCATGTGTCATTTGAATCATATGAAACAAGCGTCAACACAAAAGGAGTTTATTTTATGACAAAGAGACGAGAGCAGAGCAAGGGAAGAATCTGACCTAAAAGGTAAACCCAGCATTGAATACACCTGTAAACATATCTGTCAACTGTTTATTTCTTGAAAATCATCTTGAGGATGTTTCTCATTTTTTCTTTTTTCTGCTTTCTGCAGAATAACTATTAGGTTTAGGTGTGCAATTCTCACCTGCAGCAAACTCCAGAAGTCAGTCTTGACTTTTTTATGAAGCATTGGTGGGCTGTAGTGTTTTTTCATACAGCACAAAATGAATACAAAACACAAATGTGCAATTTGTGTGCACACAGCATTTGGATAAAGGAGTGTGAAGTTTGAAACAATTAAATGCTGCGTGTTGTTTCTCAGTAGTGCACAGATTAACCAGATTTAAGTAGCTTCCAGTGAGGAATATGCATTGTTTAGTTAAGCATTAGTTAAAAATGTTAAACATGTTGTACCCAAGTGTTAAAAGTCAAGAAAAGATTCAGTGTATGTGCACAGTATGTATGTTAGCGATCAGTTAGAAATGGTGAAGAAAGTGAACTTTTAAATCACTTGAATTAAATTCCTGCAGGACATGTTCTGTTTCTAGCTTAAATTAACTCTGCGCCATTCCTAAAATTACTTTTACTGAAATATCAGCTTGTTCCGCATGATCATCTTGACTTCTTTTCTTGAACATTTTCACACAGCCAACCTTACATAATCTATCATGTCTTCACATTGGGAAGCAAAATCTGAGTTTACAGCACCATATATGTCTTGAAAGACGTTCCAAAAGAACTTGGAGGCATTTCAAATTTTGACAGTTTGCAGCACATGTAACTTTGATTTTCAAAGCTGGCAAAGTTCTTGTAGTGCAATTAATTTTAAGTGGTGTCTAAATTCTGGGTAGTCTCAAGGATAGGAGACAAACTATACTGTAAGTAATTTTAAGTATTGCATAATGTCTTGTTAATTTTGTGGAAAATCCCTCCATCTTACAGTTGTTGTTTCAACTTGTAAATGCGTTAGAATTTCCGAGATGTGGGCTGTATAATGGAGCAGAGTAACATTGCTGGTTTCTTACAGGAAAGGAGACCCTCCTTTGTGAACAGTGATTGTAAAAAAAAAACAACAAATTAAATTAGACTTGGCTCCATCATTATAAGGTTATAAGCCTGCAAATTTTGTTGGTATTAAGTTTTTCTTAAACTTTGGTAAGGGAAAACAGTCCTCAATCTCATGCACATCAGTGTAGTGTATTAAATACAGATGTAAAAAAAAATGATGTAAAAGGTCAAATTATGCATTTCATAATATGACCAACACCCTGGAAAATACAACATATTTTCAGAGTAAGATAGGAAAATATTGTTTGGTTTTCTGCAAAATTACCATGAAATTAGAGAATACTTCAAATTACTTATGCACGACTTAAGTTTACTTACAGTATTATTATTTCCTTGTTCATGTAAAAACATAAACCCTTTATTCTGGTCTGCCTACGTTTAAGTATTTAAGTGCAATTACATTATAATTTTAAATGTAACACATTGGAATTTCATTTAATTACAGGAATTCCCCCCTTAGTTGTGAGTCGTATTACAAAGTGCTTTCCTTACAACCTCCAGTTATCAACCTTGTTTATTAACACAGGCTTTCTGCTTCAGTCAACACAGGTCCCGAGGAAAGGGTAGAAGACCAATGCTGAGATATGTTTTAAGTATTCCAGAGTGTACTGTTACAGTTGTTGTTTCATTCCCAAAGTGTCAGCTGTTAAACTTTAAACTCGATCAATTTGAGCACAAAGTTCTTAGAAGGCATTCAGGTGTGACACTCTTGCGCACAGAGATTTTAAAGCGGCTTTATTTCTTTTATTATTGGACAAATTAAAGTGAAATCATTCTCTGTATTGAATATTCTTTACTACAGTGCTGTAACATATGACAGCTTTAACAGAACATTAAACCAAGCATAACAAACAAAAGTACATATACATGAATTTTCTGCATTTATTTTAGCAATTTATTGGCTTCTTTAGTTCTATTACTTAAGTACAGCTCAAACTGCATCTGAAAATTATCTTACCACAGCTCAGAATCTGTATCATAAGGATACCTCAATAAGACAGAGTGTGAACTTCCTGCTAGAGAAGTTTTCTTCACAAAGTTTAAGGACAAAACAGAATGTAAACAAACAAAGATGCTGGTATTCTGTTGAACTCTTACTCTGCTCTCTTTCCTCCTTCATCTCCACTTTTGTTTTTTCACTCACAGCTCAGAACCTCATGTTTGTTCTGATTTGAAGGCACCATGAACAACACAGCAAACCTGACACCTCATCAAGATTTGTGGCGCAATGTGACGGTTGCAAACACCACCTCATTTTACCGTCCTGCTGTGGACCCAGTGATTGGCAATGTCATTACAGTAATGTTTACAATCATAATCATCATCACCATGGTTTCACTTGGATGCACCATGGAGGTGTCTAAGATCAAGGTGACCAAGATCAGCAGTGAATGCGAATGTATGTGTGGTTTGTCTATATGCAGAAAAGCATTGTGACAAAGCTTGAAAAATTACACGTAAGCAGGGTTTTCGATGATGTCCTTATGCCTGACAACACATTCCAGTTCCTGCAAGGAATTGCTGAGCATGTTGAAATATAATGGATAAAATACGTAATGAACATCACCATTTTTTCTAAGTAAATATGGTTGATGTGAAATTCTCACCAGATGTTGGTAGCAAACCATTTGATCCATTCATGAGAAATGACGCAGGGAAAAAAGTAGCCAACTGAAATCAGTAAATAGAAAGCAATCCTGCCGCTTAATGCAAATCTATTTCACCTGGTTTAGTCCCAAATGATTGCCTATAAAAAGGTGTCTCATTACCACACAAGAAGCATCAGATGAAGGGTAAAACCAACAAGATTTCTCAAGACCTTCGCAGCCTTATTGTTGCAAATCATAGTGATGGCATTAGTTACAGATAAATGTCTAAACTACTGAAGATTGCAGTGTAGCACTGTTGGGGCCATAATTTGGAAGTGGAAAGAACATAATTTCACCATAAACTGCACATGACCAGGTGCTACCAGACAGACGAGTGAGAAGAACCATCAGAGGAGGCACAAGTGTTTCAAAGAAAACAAGTAAAAACACTCAACTGCCATGGTTTGTATGCACACCATACATACCTCAGCACACAAGACTCCATTACTGAAGAGAAAGCATGTTAAAGCATGTTTAAAGCTTGCTAAAAAGCATTTAGACATGCATGTGAAATATTGGGGGAATGTAGTCTGGTCAGGTGAGACCAAAACCATGTTTGAGGTCAAAAGGCACTGCACATTACCCCAAAATCAGCATACCGACAGTGAGGTTTGAAGGTGGGAACATCATGGAGTGAGATTGTTTTTCAGCATATGATACTAGCAATCTTCGTATAATTGAAGATGAATGGAAAAATGTACCGAGACATTCTTGATAACAATCTGCTGCCATCTACCAGGATGATGAACGATGAAGGGTGGACGTTTCAGCAAGACAGTGATCCTAAACACAGATCGAAGGAAACTGAGTTTCTTTCTCTGAAACTAGACTGGCCCAACAAGTCACCTGGTTTGAATCCGACTGAAAATCTGTGGTAAGAGCTGGAGCTCAGAGTTCATAGAACCTTTTATGTGGAAGAATGGCCAAAATCACACCTGACCAATCCACACGACTAGTTTCTCCGTACAGAAGCTGTCATCACCAACAAAGACTTCTGTACGAAATATTAATAATTTTTCCCTGTGTCATTTCTCATTACTATACATAACTTAATTAATGGACATCTATGGTTTGATTTCTTTGCATGTGTGGATTGGATGGGTTGTTAGCATCTGATGAGAATTTCATGTCAGTAGCACCTTTAGAAATATATTTACTTAGAAATGCTTATTTTACCCGTTGTAGATAATTTCTCCAGTGATTTCTAGGTGGGCATGCCTAGAAAAACTACAAAGGGAGGCATACTAATCACAAATCCAGTGTCTCAAAATATTATACCATCACCTAAGAGCAGTCATTAAATTATTTACAACTTCTGGAACAGTTCTTGATTTATACACTCTGCTTGGGTCTTCCATTAATTAGTGCATCGTGGCACTCCTGAGGTGCTATGATGATTTGATAATGGACATTAGCTCACCTGTAATTTTGCTTTGTTTTTTTTTTTCTCTTCCTCTTGACGATACCCCATAGATTCTATGTAGGATTCACCCAAGAGAGTTGGATGACCAGCCAAGCAAAGTAGCCTAATAAAATGGTCATCATAAAAATTATCAGTTTTATTTCTGTGTGCAGGTAATAAGTCCTGTTAGAAAAAGAACTCTACATCTCCATAAAGATTGTCAACAGATGGAAGCTCAAAGTCCTCTAAAGTCTCCTGGTAGTCAGCTGAATTTGGATTTTCAATTCAATTTTATTTTATAGTGCCAAATCACAACAACTGTTGCCTCAGGGCACTTTATATTGTAAAGTAAAGACCATAAAGTTATACCGTTTACAATTGATAAAGTCGATTTGATTCTGTTTTTGTTCAGACAAACCCTGTATCAAGTATACCCTTATACTTGATACAGGGGTCCACTCTACCCTACCCAGGGCAGGGTTACTGGGGTCGTACCCTGGAGGCAATCCTCTCACAGCTCCGAAGTTATTCCTTTAATTGGTAAGGTGCTGAATACCATCCACACCTGTTTGCCTTTGTTGCTGTCTAGGTGTTCTTCGGTCTTTCTCTTGTAGTCTAACTTGGCCTCACGGATACCTCTCTCTTCAGGTTGACACATTCTGTGCTAAGCATAAAAGTGAAGCTGTAAATTTACTAGTTAATCTTTGTTTAACCCTCACTTATGGTCACAAGCTATGGGTAATGACTCAAAAAGAATGAGGTCAAGGATACAAATGGGTGATTGAGTTTTCCTTTAGTGACAGGGTAAGGCGCTCAGCCAATCAAAAGGGACTCGGAGTAGCAGCGCTGGTCCCACACATCGAAAGGAGCTAGTTGTGATGTTTTGGGTATCTGACAAGGATGCCTCATGGATGCTTTCTAGGTGAGGTATTTAGGGCATGTTCGTTTTGGGATGAGGGTCTGTGGCAGACCCAGGACTCAGTGGAGAGATTATATCTCTCAGCTGCCTTTGTAATGGCTCAGTGTCCCCCAAATGAGCAGGAAGAGGTGGCCAGGGTGAGGCTAGACTATGCTTCTTTGCTCCGACTGCTGCCCCATGACCTGAACCTGGATAAGCAGCAGAAAAGAAGTGGATGGTTGGATGGAACAAAGAATTCATGGTTTGAGTAATTTACTCAAACTGGAATAAAATATAGAAATATTTTGAGATACTGGATTTCTGAACATTATCTATTGTAATAAATACAGAATACATGAAAGTTTACCCTTTTCAATTAAAATGCACTTTTTTATAGTAATCTTAGTTTTTAAAAAATATATATATTTCATTTGGCCTTTTTCTGCTTTATTGGATAGACTCAGTGAAGAAGGGACAGGAAAGTGGGGGCAGAGAGAGAAGGGGAAGACATGCCGCCGTGTTCATGTTAATATAAACACAGTGGCATGATACATGTTTGGTAAATTTATGATCAATTTTGCTAACTTCTTCTGTTTACAGAATTACATCATGAAACCTAAGGGGTTGGCTATTGCAGCTATGGCCCAGTATGGGATCATGCCTCTTACAGCCTTTTGCTTAGTTAAGGTTGGTATTTATGTAAAGTTAAATAAGATTACTAACATGCAGTATAAATAATACACATTTGTCTTTACAAAGTTACAAATTTACAAATACAGACAGTGATTTATGATTTGTGTTCCCCACAAAAATCTTTTTACAGGGATTCATAATAAAAAATGTGAAAATTACACTGAGTTAACCAAAAAGAAGAACCAAAAACAGATTTTTTTTATGTGAGGAAAATGAGTGGAACAGACTCAGGTGCAGACCAGATGAATTTAGAATAAAAGTCACAAGTTTATTAACAATCACACCAAGTGAAACTATTTACAGTGCATGGGACTGAGATTTTGAGGGATCCAGGGATGGAGGGGAAACGGGTTCAAAAAACACAGACTCTCCAGTTTCACAATCCTCTTCAGCACTCACGCTCACTTTCACTCCACACCTCACTGCCAGACTCAGGGGAACAGATCAGGAAATAGGGATGGGTCCAGGGATTTATATACAAGTAAACGTAGTTAGAACAGACTAGAAATTCACATGGGAAACAGAGGTTAACAGAGCTGTACTGCCAAGTGTTACTCAACTCAGCTCAGGCAAACTGGCAATCAGGCAGATTCATGGCAGGTGGGCACGTGAGAGGAGACGGTATGGTTTCCAGGAGGTCCAGAGGGAGGAAAATCCAAGCGAGCCACGACAGTCAGGAAGGCAGGGCAAGGAGCGTGGTGAGTGTGAACCCCATGGTTTGTAGACTGACTGATGTAGTAGAACCGAACAGGACAAGCGCTGAAGAGTCACACGGCAGGAGATTAATCTGATAGAACAGTGAGGCAATGTTAAACCTGGGACAGACGAGCATGAACTTGATCACAAGGAGTCAGAGTTACCACAACAGTAGCTGGACAAACTGGTGGAGAGTGGTAGGCAGTGCTGGTTTAAGAACCCTACTTACTGATTGCCATTGAAACGAGGAGCAGGTGAGGTGCTGGAAACTCCACCCCAGAGGATGGAAATCTGGAACTCCTCTAACAAAGAGGAACACCTCCCAGACACTCCCACGGCACATGACAAACGTTGCCCAGTATAATTGAATTTGTGTTGATGTACCAGTATATAATTGACACCAGACATTGTATTTTAGACTATTAGACATTGTTACTGTTATTTACAGCATCCTGCAAGAGGTTATTGGGATTTTGTGTTACAGGGGTTCCAGTTGAGTGATATAACAGGTGTGGTTGTTCTGGTATGTGGCTGCTGTCCTGGAGGAATTTTCTCCAACTCCATGTCTCTGGCTATACAGGGGGACATGAACCTCAGGTACACATAGGAAGTTATGTAGTTGTAATACATTTATAATGAGCAAAAAGATGCTAAAAATGTCATTTGAAGTGATTAATGCTCAGGCAGAAAACTTTACAACAGTTATACCAGTCGATTGTGTTTGCGAACTTTCTCACACTGTGTCTGCCTGTGCAGTTTTCAAATATAACACCAAGACAAGCACAATTCAGACAGTTCAGTTAGATTTTGGCATATCTCTATCTAATGTCCAGCACGTCAGTGGAATATTCCAGGAAGCAGGAATATCTCTAGTAAATTGTTTGAACATCAGCTTGACAAGGACATTTAGCGTTGTGCAGTTATGAGAAGGGTTAATGGGGTCAGTAAAATATGAGGAATATGGAAATCATGAAGTCTGTGAGAATCAGATGTCATTTTTAATTCAGAAAGGCTAGTTTCCATAGCTCAGAGTAAAGCAACGTATTTGTCTCATCCTTGTCTTCTCCAGCATCGTGATGACTTCCTGCTCTACAGTGTTGGCTCTGGGTATGATGCCTCTCCTGCTCTACATCTACTGCCAGGGTTTCCCCAGCGTGCAGAATGCTGTCCCTTATGGTGAAATTATGTTATCGTTGGTCTTGATCCTTGTCCCGTGTAGCATCGGCATCATCATCAAGACCTACAGGCCACAGTACTCGAAGAAGTTCACGAAGGTTTGTGCATACTGACAGGAGAATGAAGGTCAGACAGATCACTAAAACTGATTAACAGTGTTGATTATTCAGTTGGTACAGGAATGGCAAATAAAGACTTCAATGACTCATATTTTAAATATTTGTTTAACAAAAAAACCCCAAACAAAACGGAAAACCTGTAGATTACATCATCCTACAAATTCTAGAATTTGCTGATTTTTTTTTCTTAACTTGACACACAGAGAAACTGAATAACTTTGTCTTCAGACAAGTCTAAACATCTTTCTCTAAACTCAAATAATTCCTAATGATACAGTACCTAACGGCAGTCAGAGAGCTGTTGCCTAGCCTGTAGAGTTCTGTGCGTCACTTTGATATGCTTCCGCAGACCATCACTGACCCACCATACTAAAAAATATTACAGGCAGCATACTGTTTGCCATGGCTTCTCCAGACCCTCCACACTGTCAGGGACAGGGTCCACTAGAGGACGTCTGGCCCTCAGGCCACCCTTATGAAAGAGACATTCACAGAATTTTTTAGGGCTCTGACAGTGCTCATCCTGTTCCCTTTTGCACAAAGGAGTTACCTGTCCTGTTGGTGGGTTAAGAACCTTCTAAGGCCCTGTCCAGCTCTCCTTGACAGGGCCTATTAACTGGTTGCATACCACAGGCCTCCAAACACTTGACCCAGCTGTCTTATCAAGTTATAGGCCACTGTCGAACCTTCCTTTTCTTTCAAAACTTCTTCAAAGAGTAGTTGTAAAACAGCTATTTTCTTTTCTGTAGAAAAAAATGTTTATTAGAAGAGTTCAGTCAGGTTTCAGAGCTCATTACAGTACTGAAAAGCCATTAATGAAGGTAACAAATGACCTTCTTATGGCCTCTGACAGTGGACTCACTTTTGTGCTTGTCCTGCTGGACCGCAGTGCAGGGTTCTGTCCTACGACCAGTTGTGTTTACATTATACAGACAATAACATTAAAGACATAGCATTCATTTTCACTGGACAGATAACACCCAACTTTATCTAGACCTGGATGACCTGTCATTTTCTGCTTCTAAATTCAGATAAAACTGAGTTTATTGTTCTGGGCACTAAAAATCTTAGAAATCAAGTCAAGTCAATTTGCTTTATTGTCATTCCAACCATGTGCAGTGGTACAGTAAAGAGTGAAATGAGACAACGTTTCTCCAAGACCATGGTGTTACATATGACATATAACAGACAATCAACACAGGACTACATAGAACCTGACAGTACCTGACAGTGACTGTACCTGACAGAACAGTACAATACAGACACAACAGTGCAAAAGAAATGTGAAAAAGACTGAGTATTGTGCAAAAAGTAACGTGGTGTATGAAGGTGTGCATGTGTGTGTGTCAGTCCAGTCACTAACTGTTTAGGAGTCTGACAGCTTGGGGGAAGTTACTGTTTCGCAGTCTGGCAGTGAGGGCTTGAATGCTCCAGTACCTCTTGCCAGAAGGCAGCAAGATGAAGAGTGTAGTGAGGGGTGTGTGACGTCCTCCAAAATGCTGGTGGCTTTACAGGTGCAGTGAGTGTGATAAGTGTCCATGATGGGCTTCAACGATCTTCTCAGCTGTTATGGTGTCTAACAACATCAGCTTAATATCACCTCTATCACCTTAGTAGAGCACTTCACTCTCAGACTGCAGGTTTATTTGTGGTTCCTAAGGTATTTAAAAGTAAAATGGGAGACAGAGCCTGCAGTTTTCAGGCCTCTCTTCTGTGGAACGAGCATCCAGTTTGGATTCAGGAGATAGACACTATCCCTACTTTTAAGATTAGACTTAAAACTTTCCTTTTTGCTAAAGCATATAGTTAGGGCTGGATCAGGTGACCCTGAATCCTCCCTTAGTTATGCTTCAATAGGTCTAAGCTGCTGAGGCTTCCCCTGATGCAATGAGTTTCTTCTTCACTCACCTTTTAAACTCATTATGTGTGTATACACCAGTCTGCATTTAATAATTACTCTCTGGCTCTCTTCCACGGTGTGTCTTTGTCCTGTTTTCCTCCTCTCACACACAGCTGGACACGGCAGATGGCCGTCCCTCTCTGAGCCTGGTTTTGCCAGAGGTTTCTTCCTTTTAAAAGGGCATTTTTACTTCATCTATCACCAAAGCGATTGGTCATAGGGGGTCATATCATTGTTGGGGTTTTCTCTGTATTATTGTAGGGTTTTACCTTACAATATAAAGTGTCTTGAAGCAACTGTTGTTGTGATTTGGAGCTATAAATAAGCTGAGTTAAGTTGAGTTGAATTAAATTTAAATCAATCAGAAATGATGAGGAGGGTAAGATCTCAACGGCCTCCACCTGTGAAACTATTCTGGTTTTGAACATTGTCTTGTTTTTGCATCTCTGGCACACCTGTTGTTGATTTCATCAACATCCAAGCCACTAAAACTGATTAACAACCCCCTCTCTACTTAACTGACCAGATCAATATCCCAGAAGTGTAATTTAATTGATCCTATACTCAAATTCTTTTGAGCAACACAAAAGAAGAAGAGAAGTCAAACACTGATTTATGTCCTGTCTTGTTGTTCTTAGGTAGGCATGATTATAATGCTGATTATACTTGTGGGGACCTTGAGCTTAATTGCTATTGGAAGCGGACATATCATCCTGACTATGATGTCTCCTTCGCTCTTGGCCATCGCTGGTCTCATGCCTTTGATGGGCTACTGCTTTGGATACGTGTTCTCTTCAATCTTCAGACTCATCCACAGGTAGGTTATTTGTTTAATTCAATCATCAATGGATATATATATATATATATACATACACACATATATCCTTCCATATGCCTTCAGGGAGCGGAGAACCGTTTCCATGGAAACAGGCTGTCAGAATGTCCCGCTGTGCACCACCATATTGAAGATAGCTTTCCCTGACGACGTGGTGGGTCCTCTGTATCTATTCCCAACAGTCTACTTGGTGTCTCAGTTGTTGGAGGCGGCGATGATCATCATGCTGTTTAGGTGCTACCAAAGGTTCAAGAGAAAAGAGAAAGGTAAGAGTGACAGCAGGATTCAGATGTTACATTTTAACACAGGCCTTTTATCACACAAGATTTAAAAAAAAAAAAACAAGTATCTACAGATGTCTGGCTGGTCGTTATTTCACAAAAATTCAACTGTGACTTGATCAAGTGTGGGTGTGGATGTTGTGGACATCTGAAGTGGGCAATGCTAGAACAAAGTTTGGGTTACTTCACTGAACTGCATGTTGTACCCTTTCATGTTGTAGGTTATGGAGAACCACTATTGACAATATTATACTCACATGTACTGGTACCCAAACTGACCTTTTAAAAAGGTGCTACATTAGATATAGTGTAATTTATTCTATATAATTTCATTATTAATAATGTATTTGCTTTGATTGTTAGTCATTTGAGTGGTCTCATTGATCACCGAAAGCATTATGTGCCTCATATCTGCCTCTACAAGAACAAAAGCCCTACTATGTGGCAACAGTGCTAACCACTGCACCACTCTGACCTGAGACGAACACACAATAAATGCACACTTGAGCCTCAGTTACAGGTATGAGACAGTTAAATGCAAATTTATGGCATTCTGCATTTAAGCATTAGTAATTATTATTAACATCTGGCACTCTCAATAGTTTAAATTCAGTTCAATTTGATTTCAATCCAATTTTATTTATATAGAGCCAAATCATAACAGTAGATGCCTCAAGGCACTTAGTATATTATATATAATATAAATGTATTAAGGTATTACATTCTAGGTTTTTATAATAATACAGAGAAACCCCCAACAATCAAACCACCCTCCTATGAGCAACACTTGGCCACAGTGGGAAGGAAAAACTCTAGTTTAATAGGAGGAAACCTTCAGCAGGCTTAGGGAGCGGCAGCTACCTGCCACGATTGGTTGGGTTGGAAACTAGGAAAACCTAGTTTACCTAGTTATTCTAGACACAGGAACTTGAACACATAGTACATTACTAAACACACAGTCTGTGGTTGAAGCAGCAGAAAAAAAGAGGCAGAGAAAATGAGCAATTCCACCATCAGGTGTGGATGAGCGAAAACAATACACGAAATTATGACCTGAGTCGTAACAAAAGGCAAGCACCAATGAGCCCACAAAAAGGTTTCTGGCTAAGAGTCTCTGCTGCCTGTTCTTGCTTTCCATTCTACACACAAAAAAAATGTCAAAACAGCACCAAAACAAAGCAAAGAATAACTTTGTGATTGTGTTTTGTTTAGACAGATGAATAACCAGACCTTAGGATTTCACATTTAACCACAGGTTGAGCAACTTTTGTGCCAAATCTTGGTTTGTGTTAATACATCTGCTTGTCTGACCCACAGAAACTTACCAGGCTGCGGCCACTGGAGAGGATCTGAAAGAGTCTGATGTGTGATGTCAATTACCACTCATATATGTCTCTATTGTAAAGCGCTTTGGGTGCCTTGAAAAGTGCTATATAAATCCAATCCATTATTATTATTATTATTATTATTATTATTATTATTATTATTATTATTAGCGTGAACGGTTTCACCAAAGGGGCTCCAGATGAAGTAACCAAAAATAGCTTACTTACAGCTTAATGAACAAATAGAAAAATGTGCAACTGTATTTCTTGATTATAAAACAGTATCGTTATCTGAAACCTGTAAATGTATTAGTAACTTCAGTTATAAAGCACTAATGAAGCCAAAATCCAGTTTTAAATAAATTTTTGAAAAATCTGATGAGTCTATCTTTTTCCTACATCATACAATTACAAGTTTCCACTGAAAACAAATTCATTATGTACATTTATGTTTTTTCAAGCTCTTGTCCACTAAGTACCAATAAGTACCACTGAGGAAATGCCAGGAAACACGTCCACCGTCTCATGGATTACTACATTACAGGCTGCAGTATGTGAGATGAGCAGAGCTCTGAGTTTGTGATATGCACTGCGTGAGCTCCACAGAGCACTGTCCAGTTTTCATTCCTGTTCACCTTGACCACCTTAGACTTTCAGTAGATCTCAAGGTCGTGGTGCCCACAAAACGGTTAGATGTAAACATGATGGTGCTCGACTTCAGAAGGAAGAGCACAGCTACATAGACCATCACTGTCCTGGGATAAGATGATGCCCAGGTACTCCACTAGGTACTCACAGGTACAGGAAGGCAGATCCATCTCCTGCAATTGATTGGGGTGGAGGGGAGGAGGACAAAACAAAAGATCCAGCTGGTCATGGAAAATTACCGCTCCTCTCAGAGCCTGGTTCTGCTAGAGGCTTCTTCCTGTTAAATGAGAGTTTTTTCTTCCTACTTTCACCGAGTAGAGTAGGGTAGATATATGGACAAATTTTGTATTTGATGTCAAGGAAAACTAACATTTTAAAAGACAATGGGAAACAGTGGCAACAAAAAAGTTCTGGCTAAGAGTCTCTGCTGCCTGTATTCGTATTCCATTTTCCACAAAAAAGGCAAAACAAATACAAAAACCTCCATCAAAGAGTAACTGTGCAATTGTGTTTTGTTTTTTGCTCAAGACCACTTTTTTAAAAAATCCCAAGAAAGTCTCCATGGAAGCACAAATATAAAGAAACAAGGGGAGGCTCAAGACTTTTGCACTGCACTCTCAGTGCAAAGGGCTGTCCGTGTATGTGCTGCTGGTTTTAAGGTTTATGAGAAACCATGCTTTGAATGCTCTAGTGAGATGCCACAGCAATCAAAAACAGCACATTTGTCACAGCTGAAACCGTGCAAAGTGGGCCGTCTCAGAACGGAAAACACACGGAGACAAGGGGTGACATAAAACACAAGAACTTTATTACAACAAGACTATGAATCATGAACTCTGAACGGAATTATCAACAATAATGAGAAACAGGGTCAGAGAAGGTCAGAGGACTATAACTTGGGTATTTTTCAAGATCTAAGGTCACAATGAGAAACTAAGGCTAGAATGGGTCGGAAACATCACCAGACATCAGTGCACTCAAAGTTCAAGGTTTGGTGGAGGGCATGGGCACCAGGAAATGCAACCAGGAGTCTCGGTACACTGCAAGAAAAAAAGAGGAGATTAAGGGACCATGACCCAGAGCCCCGGAGATGGAGAAAGCAGAGTGTAGATTAATTAATCTTACAGTTTTGCAGGTGGTGGACTGGTAAGGTGGGGGAAGGATGAGTTGTCCAGGTGAGCTGATTACAGAGCAGGTGATCCGTAGGGCTCTGTGATGGTGACAGGAGGGCAGGCAGGTAAGCTGAATGAGTGACAGGATAGAGAAACTGCACAGTCACATTTAGACCAGCAGCTGGGTGAGAGTAAGTGTTGTCTAAGACGAAACCTGAAAGCCGACTGGAGGTCTGTAGAGACAAACAAAGTCAACAGCTTTCTGCAGAAATCAGCTCTTTAACCAAAACTGTAGCAACTAACACTGACTGTGGCACGCTGAGCACTTGGCGGAGAGTAATGGTGATCGCTGATCCTAAATGCTGACAGCATAATTGCTCCCAGGTGTGGAGAAGCGTCAGAACGGCTTGAGTTGGCGCTATATAAATAAAATTGAACGGAACTGAACGCAACGCAGCGACTCTGCCCAGAAGTGGAGACAGCAAAAAAGAAGAAAACTCCAGCACTCACCCGGACCATGACAACATTATGACCACATGTCTGTAAGAATTTAGAGGAACAGATGTAACATTTAGTTCAGGTGTATGGTGCGTCTAGTACTTCTGGTTGTCCTAACATCTATCTAATCTGTGCAGTTATAACTCAGATCAAGATTTTTTCTTTTCTTCATTTAAGCAATATTAGTCCTTTAAAAGCAGCAGTGGTTCATTATACTTGAATTATTTTTTTCTCTCTCAATAGCGCAGTGTTTTGAATGAATATTAGGCAATGTGAAAAAGTGTAATTCATCTGCATGTTGACATTTTCCTTGGAAATTCAGCAAATAGCTAAAGGATTTTTAAAGAAGGGCACAGGTTTTCACAATGCTGGGTTTTAATTTCAGTATTAGTTCATTATAGTTAAAAATAATAACTTTTAAAAAATCTATGTAAATCACTGTTTCTGTCATGGCAGTGGCAGCAGATGTGTGGAGTTATAAGAGAAGGTCCCAAATGCAGGCACAGGCTTTGATGCGAGTGAGCTTTTATTTACAGTAGGTGACATTCAAACAAAAACAGGAAATGAGTGGCGTGGAGCTATAAGAAACTTAACTGGGAGAACTAAAACCTAACATGAGCCTGAACTGAAAACAAGAAACCTGAATACCTGGAAGAGGAGACAGAGAGCAGGGGCATGACAGACAGACGAACCGACAACAAGCACAAAGAATAATAATAATGGATTGCATTTATATAGCGCTTTTCAAGGCACCCAAAGCGCTTTACAATTCCACTATTCATTCACTCTCACATTCACACACTGGTGGAGGCAAACCACAGTTGTAGCCACAGCTGCCCTGGGCAGACTGACAGAAGCGAGGCTGCCATATCGCGCCATCGGCCCCTCTGGCCAACATCAGTAGGCTGTAGGGTAAAGTGTCTTGCCCAAGGACACAACGACCAGGACAGAGCCTGAACTGAAAACAAGAAACCTGAATACCTGGAAGAGGAGACAGAGAGCAGGGGCATGACAGACAGACTAACCGACAACAAGCACAAAGAATAATAATAATGGATTGCATTTATATAGCGCTTTTCAAGGCACCCAAAGCACTTTACAATTCCACTATTCATTCACTCACTGGTGGAGGCAAGCTACAGTTATAGCCCCAGCTGCCCTGGGGCAGACTGACAGAGGCGAGGCTGCCATATCGTGCCATCGGCCCCTCTGGCCAACACCAGTAGGCTGTAGGGTAACGTGTCTTGCCCAAGGACACAACGACCAGGACAGAGATCGAACCGGCGGCCTTCCGGTTACAGATGCGCTTCCCAACCCCCTGAGCCACTGTCGCACACACGGTAGCTGTGTCCAAATTCATGGGACACATGAGGACCCGGCCTTCGCGGTCTATGTGGGCCAGGTCCTCAGGAGGTAGACCGGAAGTAAACAGCTGGGGAAATTGGACGGTCTAGCCTTCTGATTAGCGTCCCCACTGTCTCGGTGGAGTTTAATAAACTCGGCCGTCTGCTCCTTGCTATCTAAAATATAACAGAACATTGGAGTAAATTCTCAACCATCTCACACTTCCATTTAATCAGTTTTCTGTTTGACGTTTATTCAGCTGTGTGAAGCCCAAGGAGGAACTTGCCCGGGGGATTAATAAAGTTTTATTTAATCTAATCTAATCTAATCTAATCTAATCTAATCTAATCTAATAACTTTAATCTCAGCCAAACTGATTTACTCACGAACAAATAAAACACTGAAAAAAGCCCAACAATAACATTTTTAGGTTGTCTAGGTGATTTATATATTACGTTTAACCTGAGTAGCGAAAGTCCGCGGTGATCTGAAAATGATGTGCCGGGAGTTGTGCCGTTCTCTGCGGCTCTAGTGACCCTTGAGCTCTCGGCTAGCTATCGAGCTGGTGGGTAACAGACGTCTCCGAAAACGTCGAAGCACTTTTGCAAATATGCGACACCTTGATAAACCGAGCAGATGTTTGAAGTTTACACACCCACATTCTCGCCTGAAAATATGTTAAAAGTTAATTTTGTGACCCAGAAAGATTAATAAGAGTAATTTTAAAACTTAGTAGCGGCCGCCATTGCCGGAAACTGGAGTTTGGCTGGGCCGCGCTATGAATTCTGGGATATGGTAGGCCCACGAAGGACACACCCGACCCATCCTTCAAATTCGGGGAAAAGGAGGACGCATTTGTCGGCTGTATTCGGAGGAGTCTACGAATTTGGACAGCCTTCGGCGCGTCGCTGTGATGTAATCGGCCTACAAATGCAGCCTCAGGAGGATGCAGCCCATGAATTTTCGACACAGCTACAGTATGTACACAGGGAGGGAAAAGAGGAAGTTGCACACAGAAGGGAGACACGGCTTAACCTAATGAACATGACGAGACAGGGAGGACGTAAAAATGAATACACTGACATAAGACACGGACCTTCACAATAAAACAGGAAACAACACACTCGCAAAGAGACAGACTCAGAGACACAGGCTTGATACAGAGACCTGACTGAACTGGAACAGAAGAAATATGGGAATCAAAACCTAGGAACTCGAAATCTTTGCAGAAGACATAACCAAAATAAACTAAAACATAAGATAATATTAATTAACACAAAACACTGAGTCAACAGTCTCAGGACCATGACAGTTTCACAGGAGATTTTTGTGGCTTTTTGGGTTTGTGCCCCAGTTTATTTTTATTCTGTTTTTGTAGCAGTGACACACACAGAGGTTTCTACTTCAAAACAATTAATGACATTTCAAACAGCATCTTTTTGACTCACAGTAATCATCTCACAGCAGAATGCAGTCTGAGCGGTACGTCAGCTGTAGA